CGTTGCACCTTTGAACATTCATAGGTGAAAAAAACATAGAATGAATTAACCAATCTATCTAGATCCACACAATTTTGTTACATTCTTTGAACTGTTGGCTGCATTAATTCATGCAATTTTCAACTTTCTAGTGACATATCATTGGTAATCAAGACATGGCCCCTCCTTGTCTGCTCCTGCGGCAATTAACACTATGCAGTCCCCAGCCTCACATCCTGTCTTCCTCTCCATAGAAATCTCTGTTCCAATATCCTCTTTTTAGTTTATTTTTCTTCAGAAATTGTATTCACAACTAATGTACTTTCAGTGTCCACTGTTGATTTCCGTGGAGCGTCAGGCTCTTTGCATCCTTGGTTACAAGAGGGGGACAGAGGAAGTGTGGGTGTAAGAGGGGGACAGAGGGTTTGGGTATGCTGAGTTGGGGGGGCAGAGAGTTGGGGCAGAAAAGTGCTGGAGTGCCAGTTGCAGGCTGTGGCCAAGAGACTTACTTGGTAGCATTCAAACTGACCTGCCAGCCTGCAGAGCTGAAAATGTCTCCCAGCCAGCATGCCTGGCTATGTGCATCAAGATTATATGAACCCAGGAGAGGGGGGCTTGGTTCTTCTTGGCTGCCTGTTATTCTAACTAGCAGCTCCAGAAACCGGCCAATGGGAATGTGCTGGGCCTAAAACTCCCCACCTCCTACCCCCTCCAATTTTAAAACAGAAACAGAGCCCTGCATGGCAAGAGGCAAACTGGGGAGTCTGCCTGGGGCTCCCCGCTGCCTCCACGGTATCTGGCCTGCGGGCCATATTTGTCCAGGCTTGCCTTAGTGGTGATAAGTTGTATGGTGCATCACACGGCAGCAACAGTTAGGAGGAGCCCCCTCTCGTGGCCTCCCCAGGCTTTATGAAAATCGGCTTCTGAATATGAACATGCATAACCCAAATATGCTTCAGACTCGGTGCCTCCCGTAACAGATCGATTTGACACTTATGACCTGCGGAATCTGTGTGTCCTCTGTGTGTGCCTGTATCATTCTTGAATGTGACGCTAGAGACATGAAATGTGAATCTGGCTTTAATTCTCCATGTGCTAATGAGGGAGGGAGGAAAGAAAGGAAGAATTGGGTTCTTCCCATGTGCTTTTTTGTCCCAAAGTCTCTAGGGGTGCAGGACATGCAGAGCCACAAAAAACAAACCACTTGCATGAATCTTGGTCCACCCCAAGTGGGCAATCAAGGAGAAAGTTACCCAGATTCACCTTTGTTTTTAAAACACAAATCTTGAAGGGATAAGACTAGGGCCCTGTAGCTTTCTGCCCCAGCAGGGCTGGCTTTTGGGGAGAGCACGTAGGCAGAGGGAGTGGCCACTGGAAGCCCTTAGCCCCATGGGGAAAGAGAAATGGGGATCCCCCATCCCTGGAGAATGTGGCATCAATCCACATGCTAAGTGAGCGCTCTGCCACTTGAGCTAATTCCCCTGCTCCTGCCCCACCCACCTTGTTCCGAAGCCCACGACAGCCCTAAAGCTGCCCAAGGCTCCTTTCTGAGAGGGCCACTTGTGGAGCTATTTGCTGTGGGTTGGCAAGCTCAAGCATGGTGTTCATCAAACCAGGGTGCTGAGTTCAAGTGCTGACCAAGCCTGTCTTCATTCAGCTGACTGCCATGGTCAGGCGGCCCCAAAAGGAGGCAGGCAGGCTAAGTGGTTTGCAGGGAGCAGGTGAGGGTACGGGTGGGACTGGGGCCTAGCATGTGCAGGGCCAAACTGCTAGGAGGGGGCTCCAGCCTCCTCCTTTCCTCCCTCTCAGGTACTTTCTTCAGTGGGGGCTGGCCAGCTGCCTTCCCCAGTAGCAGGCACAACTCTTGTCCTGCCTCCATTGTCTCCAGTGGGGTGACCTGATAGCCCAAATTTGTGCTGCTGCAGTCTCAACCCCAGTGCATCCTTCAGGGGTCCAGCTCTCCAGCCCCAGCCACTGAGGGAGGCTCCATAGTCACCCCCTCATGCCAAGGGGAAGATGTAAGAGGGGGCCTGGGCCTTCCCTGGACACCAGCTGCCCAATGCAGAGAGCCAGCCTCCCCCCCACACACACACTGTCCCCCACACCTCCCATGGGCAGGGGCAGCAGGACAACACTCCCATAGGACACCAGCCCTCCCCAGACACTTCATTTGCTTCCTCTGCTCCCCATTTCCTCCCCAGCCCTTCTGGCCTCGCAGGTTCCCACTCTGGGCAGAAGGACAGACCCAGGCAGGACCACCTGGTACCCCCAGCCCAGCCTGCACCCGCACATTAGCACCAGCTGGTGTGGCGCCTGAGCCATCCCATTCAACAATGGGGTGGTTGGTGAAAGTAGGGCTGGAGGAAACAAGCCCTACCCCTAACCCTGCCCCTTTCTGCCCAGGCCCCACCCTGCAGGAGCCAAGTCCCACCCAGCACCACAGGGAGGTGGGGCCATGCCACAAGGAGGAAGGAGGGCGCATGGTCCCCACCTCCCTGGAACCTGTAGTAGGTGTTCTGGGAAAATGGGCTTACAGGGAACCGTGCGCAGGACACTGCCTTATACCCAGATATAAAACAATTCTTTCCCACTGTGGTGTGGAAGTCTGGTCCTTTTACTTGGGTGTCACAGAGAGCAGCAGACTCTTATTCGGGCCATCGCCGTTACAATCTGACACCTCATTCGTCATAGGCAGAGTGTTTTGAAAGGCTGGGGTAAGTATTAGTACAGAGGGTCCCACAGTGCTATGGACAGAAGGAAAAGAGAAATTTGGAGAAGTGACACCACAAATGAGGTCTTTCCATATAATTTTATGTTGTGAATTGTCCCTCCAGCTAGGGCCGGTCTTAGGCCAATTCGACTGATTCCCCCAAATCGGGCCCCATGCCCTGAACCCGGAAGTGTGCCAGGCACCATGGGCGGCGAGTTACTATTCAGAGCCAGAGCCCTGCTCCAGCAATATTTGGAGCTGGGTCTCTGCCCTGGCTCTGCCCGTAGCAGGCCCGACCCCCACGTGCATCCTCCCACCCCACCCCCAGAGCGTCCCCCTTGACCCTATCCTGTCCCTGCCGTGCACAGCTCTCAGTGTCTCCCCCCCACCGGCTGCTGCTGCCATGCACGGCGTTCACAGGTGGGCAGGGAGGATGCCCGGGCGTGACGTCCCAGCCCGGGAATTTAAAAGTGCTCGGCGCCGCATGGCCTAGCAGCTCTGGGTTTGGAGTCCGAGGCCCGAACGCAGACTCCAGCCCTGTAAAGTGGAAGGCAGAAGGTAGGAGAGGGGAAAAACTAGGGGGAGGGAGTGGGAGAGGAAGGGGCTTATGCAAAGGAGGAGGAAAACACCAAGAGACAGGGTGGAGGAGAGACAAATGCCAGGGGCCAAGTGCAGACAATGAGGAAAAGGGCAGGAGGGGACGTGTCAGTAGGAGGGGGGACAGGGTGATGCTGGGAAAGGAAAGGAGAGGAGAGGGTAAGGGCATTGGGGGCTAGAGCAGGGACGGGAAGGTGCTGGGAGAAGGCTTGAAAGGAGAGGGCATGAGAAAGGTGGGGATGGAGCAAGTCATGTGTGAGGGCACAGAGGGGCAGAAGGGGAATGGGGCAGAGAATGGTGAGGAGGTGGGCATCAGGGAAAAAGGGGGCAGGACAGTAAGGGACAGGGGAAGCACCAGGAGGGTGCAGGGCTAAGGGAAGGTGCAGATGCCAGGGGATTCGGGGGGTGAAGCAGAAGGGCAGAGACCTGCAGGGGAGGGACCAGCACCAGAGGAGAGAGGCAGGGCAAGTGTGTAGAGGGAGGTGTTAGAAGAGGGGATGAGGAGGGGTAGCTCACATGATCAGAGTGGGGCTACTGGAGGAGTGGGCACAGGGGGCAGAGAAAGGCTGGTGGAGGGGCAAGTTGCAGAAGGGCTGAGGGCAGTGAGAAGGGCAGGAGTCAGGACAGCAGAGGAAGGTGAGGAGTTGGGGGGCAACAGGCATCAGGGGAGCTGATGAAGCAAGGGGAGGAGACAGGGCAGCAGAGAGAAAAGGTAAAGGTTTATAAAATATTTTTTAATAACTTGGGTGCTACAGTGGCACATCCAAACAAGCCACATGAACTCAGTACTGGTGCACAACATGAAATTCATTCTGCTCATGGGAGGAAACTCTAGGATATGTCTACACTGGCGGCTTCTTGCTCAAGAATATCTTGCACAAGGGTTCTTGTGCAAGAAGTCTTGCTCACGAACATGTCCACACTGACGTGTGTGAGCTGTGCTTTTGTGCAAGAGCATCCATGGCAGTGTGGACGTTTTCTTGCACAAGAAAGCTCCGATGGCCATTTTAGCCATAGGGGTTTCTTGTGCAAGAAATCCCTGCTGAGCTTCCACACTGCCCTCTTGTGCAAGAGAGCTTACACCTGCATGGTGGATGCTCTCTTGACCAAGAAAGCTCTGATGGCCATTTTAGCCATCAGGGTTTCTTGTGCAAGAAATCCCTGCCGACCATCCACACTGCCCTCCTGCGCAAGATAGCTTACACCTGTTAGAAAGGAGCATAGCTCTTGAGCAAGATGCCCTCTCTTACCATGTCGTACTGTAAATTTCCTTGCGCAAGAGCAGGCGGGAAGTGTGGCTGCTCTGTGGGTTCTTGCGCAAGAACAGCTGTACTTGCACAAGAAGCCGCGAGTGTAGACAGCCTCAGAGGGGATCCCTGCCGACCATCCACACTGCCCTCCTGATGCATTGGGTTAATGCAACTGCAGGATAGTTCCACGCAGGGAGTTTGGTGGGGGCCAAACTAATCCCTGTTGGTAGGAGGATGGTGGGAAAAACCTTCGAGAGGGGTGACATGACACTGTTTACTTCCGGTAGTGTGTCCATCTTGCCCCGAGCGTGTTACCTCCAGAGGCGTGGCTAACGGGGGTAGGGAGCATGGCTAATGGGGCACCACCAAAAATTATACAAACCTGCCGCCCATAGACAGGGCAGTGTTTCCTGGTTACAAAAGGTATCCTGGAAAAGCTCCATTCTCAGGGGGTAGCCAAAAAGGGCACCATGGCTTAGCTGGCTAAAGTGCCTGCCTTGTAAGCAGGAAATCCTGGGGTCAAATCCCAGTAGTGCCTTGCTGTGGCCTTTGCTCATGTTTTCCCCTTCCTTCTGGGACACAGAAGAGGCCTCCCCTGGCCACCCATGGAACTGCTGGTTCAGGAAAAGGCTGATTGGAGAGGAGTGTTGGGAAGAAGGAAACCACAAGCCTGGAGCGGGTGCAGAGGCTGCTGTGACTGTTCCGTTTTAAGCATTTCTGGAAAAGGGTGCCAGTGTAGAAGTAGCCCATAAGATTAAAAACACCAGCGGCATCTCCCCAGGAGTGTAACAGTGCAATTAGTTAGGTGCTGACATAACAGCCCTACTGGAGGTATCTCAGAGACACTCTGCTACTCATCATACAATATCTACACGAGCATGATTTTCCGGAAATGCTTAAAACGGAACAGTTTTCCGTTATAAGTATTTCTGGAAAAAGCACATCTACATTGGCAGGATGTTTTTCCGGAAAAGCACTTTTTCCGGAAAAGCATCCGTGGCCAATGTAGACGCGCTTTTCCGGAAAAAAGCCCTGATCATCATTTTCGCGATTGGGGCTTTTTTGCGGAAAAGACTACTGTGCTGTCTACACTGGCCCTTTTCCAGAACAGTTTTTCCGGAAAAGGACTTTTGCCTGAACGGGAGCAGCATAGTTTTTCCGGAAAAACACTGACAATTTTACAGTAGATCGTCATTGCTTTTCCGGAAAAGCAAGGGGCCAGTGTAGACAGTTCGCAAGTTATTCTGGAAAAGTGACTGCTTTTCCAGAATAAGTGGCCCAGTGAAGACACAGCCTAGGTGTATACCCACACTTACAATGCTACAGCCATGTCGCTGTCACACTTCAGTGTAGACAGTCACTACTGCAACGAGAGGGGTTCTCCACCTCCCCAAAAGGCAGTAGCTTAGTTGACAGAAAAATTCTAAAGCTGTCTCGCCAATGGTTAGTAATAGAGAGGTAGCCATGTTAGTCTGATCTTGCTAAAACAAAAGGAAACATCTGAAAGTCAGGAGGATCAATAATCTCTGTGAAAGGCAGGTGGCCATTAATGAGGAGGTATGTTGTGTGCATCCAGAAAGATAGGAATGGGCACCAGACAGGCTGATAAAAGTGTCTCTTGTCTGTTTGTAACAGGCTCCTGCCCATCTCCAGTCACATTCTCAGTCCCACATCAGAGCAATTTCTCTCATAAATGCAACACAAACTAGGCCATTCCTCCCCCGCTGGACATTCCTCCCCCCTAGGGAGTCCAAAGACTTGCCAATGGGCTTTCACATCCCACCCTTGTTGCGATGACGGGAATAGAAACCGACATGTAGCGGGTTTGTGCTGGTTCCAGCTGAGGGACGGGTTTGCCTGGTTTATGCGCATTGGCACAGGACAGCAGGAAGGGTTTGTATTCATTTAAAGAATCCACAGACACCAGAAATCCAGAATGGGATGGAAATGGAAAGGCAAATGTTTCTGTTAGAGGGAAAAGTTTTTTAAAGGGGGCGCTTGGCTCTGAACCCAGCATTACTTGATGTGCAGCCAAACACTCTACCACTAAGCTTCACCCCCATAGAGAACAGCTGTTTGCAGCCATTGTTGGGAACTGGGCAGAGAACAAGAGACTTCTGTGTAACAGACATCTCAGGTAGGAGGGACCCTCTCTGACCGCAGATTAAGACTGGTCCTAACAAGGAATTGACCTGAGAGCAGCCAAGCTGGGGCAGGATAGAGAGCCCTGAGAGAGGAAGTGGCTGGGGGGAAGCCAGGAGAGCAGAGGCCAGACTGAGAGCTGAGAGTCCCAGGTGCCCATCAACAGCACCAGTTGTAGGTTCCATCATGTAAGGGGCAGCACTTAGGCCTCTGAATCCTGCAAGTTGAGCTCAAGTCTCAGTGGGACCTGCTGGGGCTGGGCTGGTTTGTTAGGAGGTTTTTCATGTGCTTTGGCCTTAGTGTCACTGGAGGCAATTCTGTGTCTCTCACTGGGTGTCTGATGCTCCTTGGAGCTCTGTCTCCAGACTCTCCAGGCCAGTGCGAGGGGGTTGATGCCATCACAGCTGCAGGGCAGATCACCCACCTGGCCCCCAAGCTCAGCCCATGCCACTCTGCAAACAGTGCCTCCTTTCTCCTGGGGAAGAAATTGGGACTAGCCCAATTTGGTGCCCTGAGGGCAATAATCCTGAAGGGGTATGAATTCCTTCCCTCTCCCCTGGCTGCTACACGAAGAGGAATCCTGAACATGGTCCCTTCTCCTGTCACTTGAGAGACTGAAATGGGGCCATTTCTTGTGGGAAAAGAAGTGGGTGAGTCAGGAGAGGCTTTGGAACCGTGGATTCCAGGACCCCCCAGTGGGGGCAAGACAGAGCCTTGAGTCAGGCACTTGAGAACACTCAGCTCCTGCTACTCGGTGACTGGCCATTTGTGGGGCACCTACTCCTGGCTAGCAAGGGTGGCAGCGCATGAAACTCTTAGGCATGATTTTGCGCAAACACTTTTAACAGAAGAGTTTTTCCATTATAAGTATTTGCGCAAGAGAGGGTCTATTCTGCCATTTGTGGGGCACCTACTCCTGGCTAGCAAGGGTGGCAGCGCATGAAACTCTTAGGCATGATTTTGCGCAAACACTTTTAACAGAAGAGTTTTTCCATTAAAAGTATTTGCGCAAGAGAGCGTCTATTCTGATATGTGCCTTTGCGCAAAAGATTTGCTTTTGTGCAAAAGTATCCATGCCAGTGTAGACGCTCTCTTGCACAAGAAGACTCCAATGGCCATTTTAGCCATTGGGCTTTCTTGTGCAAGAAATTAACGTTGCTGTCTACACTGGCCTCTTGTGCAAGAATACTGGCACAAGAAGGCTTATGCCTGAGCGGGAGCATCGGAGTATTTCTGCAAGAAGCACTGATTTTGTACATTACAACATCAGTGTTCTTGCACAAATACTCAAGGCCAGTGTAGACAGGCAGCAAGAATTTGCACAAAAGCGGCAATCTTGCCAATGTAGACACAGCCCTCATCTTAGGGTCATGGATTCAAACCTCATGCTGGGTGATACCTTTCTTCCAATTATATTCTCAGATGACAAGCAATTTGCTCTTGGCTTTCACCGGTTATATGAAGGAAAAGTGTAGTCCTGGGGTACAGCTTTAGTAGAGCCAAAGAGAGAACAAACCACAAACTGCAATTTCTAGCTTCTAAGGAGAAGGGAAGAGAATTGTGAGAATAAGGGGGAGACGTTCCTGCCAGGGTAGGGGCCCCCTGGACATATTGAGCCTCCCTCTGTGGCTTGGGCTGGGGATCCTGCCCCCTGCAGGGAGCCTTGGGGTAGCCACTATGGCAGCAGGAAATTGGGTATCAGGTCACCCCACTGGGGACAATGGAGGGAAGAGGAGAGTTGTCCTGCTCTTGGGGAAAGCAGGCCAGGCCGAGGCCCTTTCAACCAGTGGGTCTGTGCAGGCTGAAGCCTCCTCCTCTCAGATCTTTGGCATGAGTCCTGCAAATCTTGTTTCTGCTTCCTTGTCCACACCAGGTAGCTAAAGGGGGGGAAACTCACCACCTCAAATATCCCTTTGGCCAGAATAGGGCTTGAACCTGACACTGGTATCATTAGCACCACATACAAACCAACTGAGCTAGCCAGCCTACAGGAACACGTGTCACAAGTGGCCCATTCCAAAAGGTGCCTCAGGCAGCTGCAAGGCCCTCTCTGTGAAGGGGGATGGCTAGTCTAGATGGTTTGAAATCTGGTGCTAATAATGTCAAGGTGGCTGGCAGCTGGCATGGCCCACTGAGACCTAGGCTGTAGGGTAAACTGAGGCAGTCCATAGTATCTTGCTGAGAACTGAGTACTCAAATGCTAAATTATTAGGCCAGGCCTGGAAAGCATACAGACAGTAGCTACCATGATCCTGGTTCCCCTGGCAACCACATTCCAAGGGGCCTCACTTCTATAAGGTCTGGCTGGTCCCAGCCAGGCTGCGCAGGTTCTCTCTCTGTCTCCTGTAAATTCAGATAAATAAACTAGGATCCCAAGGACTATGCCAAGGTTGCAAGGAAATAATCATCTCGCAATGAAATCAATTAGGATCCCAAGGTTGAGAGTAAGGTTGCAAGGACATAATCATCTCTCAATACACAATTCACAAACAAGATACCATCAACATTTCCATTTTGTTTATGTTGGCTCCTTTAGCTTGTTAAGAATAACTTTGTATTATTGATAACATGTCTAACTGGCAATGGACGGAGATCCTGTGTAATCTTTATAGTCCATTGGCTTATATGCTCATTATACCTTGCTGCTAGAACCTATGAAATTGCTTCCCCTCTGCCCATCTGTTGCCTTTATAACCTAATGTTTGTTTTGGTTAAGTTAGCGCTCATCAGGTTAACCCCTTGGTGGGTATTCCACCAGCTGGGTGAAACAATAAATCCTCTGCATATTTTCACCTGTACCTGTTCCCTACAGTTTGGGGGCTAGTTTGGGATCCAGGGTTGTGAGCTGATCAGGGATCGGAGGCGGATACCCAAAGAGTGGTGAGTACATTTATTTACCACCTCATTAGGCCAGGGTTTGAAGTCCGCAGTCAGCCTCATGAGCAAAACTCCTCAGATACCCCAGCTCTTCCTGTGCCACAATCAAACCTGGGCTTACATACAAGTAAGGGGTTATACAGCCCAATCTCTCCAACCCAGAACAGACCCACCCGGTTCCAAAGAACCAGCCATGAATCCCTGGTCAATTTATACTTTAGATCTTACCCACAAGATCACAGTGGACCAATCCTTTAGAATCTAAAGGTTTATTAAAAAAAGAAAGAAAAGGTTGAGAGTAAGGTTGTTAAGGAGAATACATTACATACATCAATGAATACGTTCTTGTTGCAGAATCTTAGTGGAGATGTTACAAATTAATAGCATAGAAGTCTCTGGCATACATTGTATGTCAGGATGGGTCAGCAATCCTTTCCGTGTCTCTGTCCTTAGCAAGGCTGCATCTGGGATAAGTAGCAAGACTGAAGACAAGATTGAGCCCCCCTCATGGCATTTGATATTCATTTCTGGTGTCTCCCAAGCTGGAGATAGTCATATGGTCAAGTGATCTGTTTCATATGCCAGCAGCCATTGTGCCCTGGCTGCTTTGCAGCTTTCCACACACATTCTTCAGCCAGCTTTCATTTGACCTCACGTGGCCCACTCTGTACCAAATTTGGGGCAAACAGTTCCCCGTGAGCACAGCAGTGATCTATACGTTCACCTTAAAATCCAATAATGTGACAGGGGCCTCAAGAAAGGGTTGGGATCTTGAGGAAGGATCTGGGATGAAGAAGCAGGCAGGTGTCTGGCCAAGGGGAGGGTGCAGTGTGTGGCCAAGAGAAAGGGTGCAAGAAAAAAGGAGGGTGTCAGTGCAAGCTGGGGCTGTTGGATGATGGGGGAAAAGGGAATTGAGGAGATTGGGAGGGAGCATCTGGGAAAGACAGCAAATATTACCTGTCTTTGGGCCCCCTTGCAGCAACCTCTGCAGCCGCACTGTCCTGGTCACACAGGACAGGACCAGCCCCAGACACTGGAGGCACCACAGCTGCACCCATTCAGTCCAGGGCTGAGGTGTTGCTGCTGCAGCCATGCAGCCCAGGATCAGCCCCAGAAGCACCCCTGAAATGGCCATGTGGCCCTGGAGGCCAGCAGTGCAGGTGGCAGCACTGCCTCTACTGCCGGCCTCAGGTTGTGTGGCAAAGATTCAGCCTAGTGCTGCCTCCTCTCTAGTGGCTACAAAGCACAAAAAGGGGATGGGACTAAGCTCCTTCTCCCTCAGCACATGCTCATTTGGAGGTGGGGCCTGATACTGCCTTGTGGACAGGATCAAAGTCTAAGGCAGGCTGGATTGTGCCAACAGAGAAAATTTTGCTCACCACCACTATAGGATTTCTCACCTATGTGGGTTCAACTATATGCAACAAGCCTTGAACTCTCACCATAGCATTTCCCAAAGTCAGAGCAGTTGAAGAATTTCTCTTCTATGGATAACAAGGTGTGACCTCTGACTGCAGCATTTCCTAAAGTCAGAGCAGCTAAAGGGTTTCTCCCGAGTGGGCTCTCCTATGGATGATAAGCATTGCGTTCTTACTGAAGCTATTCCCACATTCAGAACAGCTGAAGGGTTTCTCTCCTGTGTGGGCTCTACTATGCCTAACAAGGTTAAACCTTTGACTGAAGGTTTTCCCACAGTCAGAGCAGCTGAAGACTTTCTCTCCTGTGTGGGCTCTCCTATGACTAACCAGGTGGGACCTCTGACTGAAGGTTTTCCCACAGTCCAAGCAGCTGAAGCATTTCTCTCTTGTGTGGGCTCTCCTATGCTTAACAAGGTATGACCTCTGACCAAAGGCTTTTCCACAGTCCGAGCAGCTGAAGGGTTTCTCTCCTGTGTGGGCACTCCTATGCCTAACAAGCTGTAACCTCCGAGTGAAGTTTTTCCCACAGTCAGAGCATCTGAAGGGTTGCTCTCCTGTGTGGGCTCTCCTATGGATAACAAGCTGTGACTTCCGACTGAAGCTTTCCCCACAGTCAGAGCACCTGAAGGGTTTCTCTCCTGTGTGAGCTCTCCCATGGATAACAAGGGTTGACCTCTGACTGAAGGTTTTCCCACAGTCCGAGCAGCTGAAGCATTTCTCCCTTGTGTGGGCTCTCATATGCTTAACAAGGTATGACCTCTGACCGAAGGCTTTTCCACAGTCCAAGCAGCTGAAGGGTTTCTCTCCTGTGTGGGCACTCATATGCCTAACAAGCTGTAACCTCCGAGTGAAGTTTTTCCCACAGTCAGAGCATCTGAAGGGTTGCTCTCCTGTGTGGGCTCTCCTATGGATAACAAGCTGTGACCTCCGACTGAAGCTTTCCCCACAGTCAGAGCACGTGAAGGGTTTCTCTCCTGTGTGAGCTCTCCCATGGATAACAAGGGTTGACCTCTGACTGAAGCTTTTCCCACAGTCAGAGCACCTGAAGGGTTTCTCTCCTGTGTGGGCTCTCTTATGAACAACAAGCTGTGACCTGTTACTGAATCTTTTCCCACAGTCCGAGCAGCTGAAGGGTTTCTCACCTGTGTGGGTTCTCTTATGCACAACAAGCTGTGACCTGTCACTGAAATTTTTCCCACAGTCCAAGCAGCTGAAGGGTTTCTCTCCTGTGTGGGCTCTCGTATGCCTAACAAGCCGTGAGCTCCGACTGAAGCTTTTCCCTAACAAGGTTTGACCTCCGACTAAAGCTTTTCCCACAGTCAGAACAGCTGAAGGGTTTTTCTCCTGTGTGGGCTCTCCTATGGATAAGAAGCTGTGACCTATCACTGAAACTTTTCCCACAGTCCAAGCAGCTGAAGGGTTTCTCTCCTGTGTGGGCTCTCCTATGCCTAACAAGCCGTGAGCTCTGACTGAAGCTTTTCCCACAGTCCAAGCAGCTAAAGGGTTTCTCTCCTGTGTGGGCTCTCCTATGCCTAACAAGCCGTGAGCTCTGACTGAAGCTTTTCCCACAGTCCAAGCAGCTAAAGGGTTTCTCTCCTGTGTGGGCTCTCCTATGCCTAACAAGGTTTGACCTCTGACTGAAGGTTTTCCCACAGTCAGAGCAGCTGAAGGGTTTCTCTCCTGTGTGGGTTCTCCTATGGATAAGAAGCTGTGACCTACCACTGAAACTTTTCCCACAGTCCAAGCAGCTGAAGGGTTTCTCTCCTGTGTGGGCTCTCCTATGCCTAACAAGGTTTGACCTCTGACTAAAGCTTTTCCCACAGTCAGAGCAGCTGAAGGGTTTCTCTCCTGTGTGGGTTCTCCTATGGATAAGAAGCTGTGACCTATTACTGAAACTTTTCCCACAGTCCGAGCAGCTGAAGGGTTTCTCTCCTGTTTGGGCTCTTTCATGTTTAATAAGAGTTGTACAGTCACTGCAAGAACAAGGTGAACGTTGATGGAGGATTTTCTTTTGAACAGTTTCTGTGTTTGTATTCAACCTTCTGCTCTTATGACTGGATTTACCCTGTCCCACTCCAGGATGGTTTTCCTGCTGCCTTTGTAGACTACTTTGACTCTCACAAGTCTCTCCTTGCTCAGGACTCCGAGAAACATGCCCTTCAGATCTTCCCACTAACATCCCACATGGAGCCATTTGCTCAGGTCCTTCCTCCTGAAGACTCCTCTCACTGTTCTCATTCAGCATCCCATCACCTGCTGGGATGGAGAGAGAAACCACACAGGAGTTATTCCCTGAGCTGAGCTGAAAGAAAAATTCTGAATGCTGAACAGAAAATGGGGGACACACCCAAAGAATGGTTGGAAAGATTCAGTAATCATGAGCTGAGTTCACTCTGCTTCCCCCATAACTCATTCCCCACCCAGCACTCTCAGACTGGAGTTGATGACAGGCTGAAGGGCCAGTCAGACTTGATGAAAACGCACAACCAACATCTGCTATGAGAACACAGAAATTGGTTTGAGTCAGTTTAGCTGATTTCTTATCTGTGTGGGTATCGCTGATGATCTCCCCTTACTCACAGGCTTGGAGATCCGGGATCTGCAGCTCTTCCCTTTGCTCCACCCAGGAGAGCACATGATTTTTGGAGACTGGAAATCCTATTCGGGGAGCAATTAACCAAGTGCTGATCTTGTTCATTAAGGTCTGTGCCATTCCTGCTCCCAAAGCCAGGATCTGAGTCTCCTATCCAGACAGGCTCCTTTCCAACCTTCCAGAGACTGGTCTCTGGCTGGTACAAGATCCCTTGAAAGACTAATTCCATCCTCCCCCAGACCTACCACCATATTGGGAATAGCCCAGCTGACTCCCATGGGGAACTGAGCGCTCTGCTGCACTCTGCAGGATACAACTCAGTCTCCCTTAGGGCCTGTTCCATACTTGGGCAGGACAGGAACACATTGCTCATAAGGGGAGAGCTCTAAGACTTTCAGGACTGACTGATGCCTCTATCCAGGACTCATATTTGAGCTGCCACATGTCAGGTCTCTAGGGCTGGGAGGGAAAGGATCCAGCAGAGCTTTAGAGACCTATGGGCTCTGCCCACAAAGCTCTTAGCGGGGGCTGGACTTGCCCTGCTCTTGGGCTCAGATGCTCTACTTGAGTCAGAAGGAGGCAGGGGAATTGTCTGATCAGGAAAATGAATCTTTGGCTGTCCACTTCAGGTCCTGACTATGGTCCACACTCCTGATCCTGACTGACTGTGCCTGGGTGGGCCCTGTCAGCTGCCCACAACAGCTGTCAGTCCTGCAGACAGCCAAGGCAGTGCCAGGCTGTTCCTGTGGCCAACAAACGTGTAGACAGGATGGGCTGCTTCTGTGCTGCTTGTAGATGCTCCTGCAGCTCAGCTCCCCTTCTGCAGCCTTGGTTCTACTCTGCCAGCAACAGCAGCCCTCCTTTTGAGGCCAGTTGAGCCTGCCATTTGGTGCCCCTCTGGGTTGCACAGAATCTACCAGAGGCAGCCACGGACTCTGAGTTGATGCCTTCCTTCCAGGGGCTCTGCACAATAGCACAAGGGGACACTGTAGACACTAAGAGCAGCTGCACCCTGTCCCACAACTCTGGTCCCTTCTGTTCCTGTCTGGGCCCTTCAGCTGACACTCCGGCCAAGGCACAACATGGGCAAGATGGTGGGAACCACAATGAGACCTTGGCTGTGGGAAGAGCAGCACCACTATTATGTCACTGAACCTCCTCTCACACAGGAGCCAGGATTACTGGGGCAAATACTGCTAATATTGGGGGTTAAGGGATCCTGTATCCTAGCAGTTAAAATCTGAGATGTAATAAGCTCTTCCTATAAACTCTGGGGCATCTGTCAGCCTGTTGGCTGCCCTCCACGAAGGGATCCCGATCCTAGCGGACTAAGACATGGACGTTAAACTCCTCGGGGTGCCCATCAGTCTCTCGTAGACTGCCCACTGCGACGGGGCCTTGTGTCCCAGCAGTTGAAGACTCGGGTGTAACACACACACACACACACACACACACACACACACACACTGCCCTGACCATCGGCTGACACAGGGGGAGAAGGGGAATTGGAGACATTTCAAAAAGGGCTTTAATCCTCTCCACACCCCAATTCTGCCCAGGCTCTGTTGCTGGTGACACACATGCTGGACTCTGAAGTTTTGGGCAAACGCTGAGTCTAGATAATATTCCATAAACACCACACATGAGTTAGATCGGAAAGCCATATTTATTTTTCTCAATATCTGGCTTCAGTTACATTACCTTGCCTGCAACAATGGGATTCAGTTCTCAGCACCCAAAGTTTCTGCTAACAAGCCACATATTCATCTGCCTGAACATGGATATAGGTTTAATTTAATTTGGGCTGCAGTATTTATAATCCTTAGTCTTCATGCATTGATTTGCAGCCCAAACTTTGGTACTCTCATCTGACACAGACTTTATAAACTCTCTCCACAACAGAGATGAAGTGAAGTTAATATGAGTATTCAGATGCATATTATTAAACATGTGCTGAGTGTTTGCAAGATAAGACCTTAAAATTCATGGCATCAGAAGATATCCTTAGCAATGCAGTCTGTCCCCTCTGCTGCACAAGCCATTACACTTAGCCCAGCTACCCAGGCACAAAGCTCTGTTCCCCCACAGCATGTTTTCTAGAAAGTCACCCTGTGTTGATTTGAAGACATCAAGAGATGGAGAACCCACCAGTTCTTTGCTGATTGGTTTCAGCAGCAAATCCTCTTACCCATCAAATATTTGTGCCTCCTTTCTAGCCTGAAATTCTCTGGCTGCAGCTTTCAGTTATTGACTCTCACTGAGCTGTATCCGCTAGACCAGGGGTGGGCAATTCATTTTGATGGGGCGGGGGGAAGACTCCAGGATTTTGGAAAGTGGTTGAGAGCTGCACTCTTCCAAGACATTAAGCAGGAAATACAGCGTATGGGATGGACACTGGGAGAAGAAGGGAGCTTTGGGTTAGGCTTTGGGATGCAGGAGGGAAAGGGGTCTAGGAAGGAGTTGGGGTGAAAGAGGCAGGTGTGATCTGGGGCACTGGATTAGCCAACTACTCATGAGATATTTAAAGTAAAGTTAATTTAGAGAAGCGGCTGAGTGGACAAATAACGGGCTGAGGGTTTCTGACCATGAAGAGCTTCTTGCATACTTGGATGCAGGAAGAGGACAAAGAGTTTGGGTATGTGGAGGAGGGGGCAGAGAATTCAGAGGAGAAGGGAGAGGTTGGGGTGCCAGAGGC